GGTAAAAGTATTTCTTTCTACAGCTTAGCATAGCTCTTTTATTGGGTTTTATTGGTTTTTTAACTAGTCTAGACGTTAAAAAAACTATTTTGTTAGTTGTAATACCGGTAAATGCTTCATTTGTTACATTTCAACATCGAAAAAAAGGCCAAAAAATCAAAACAGCCGATATGGTATGTGTTTGAGAATATCTTTAGTTTGAATAAAATGGATATAATTTCTGTGGTTTAAATCTTTACAAATAAGTTTAAAGATATTACCACATTTTTAAATTAGGGAGTAAACAACTCAATTTTAATATGTAAATGAAATATGATTAATTATGCTTTAAAAAAAAAAAAAAAAAAATAGTACGCGTTTTCTTGGTGTGGTGTTTACTCGTTATTTTTCTTTTTCTTTTATAAATGGATCGTAAATATAAAAAGTTCGTTCATATTTGTACTTATTGTTATAGTACTCTCTTTCCATAAGGAATTCATATATGTGTCTTCATTATTTGTGAAGATACCCTTTCTGTAACTACTTTTTATTATAAGAAATTATTTTAGAAGTTCATATTTGATTTGTACAATTGTTTGAATATTTGGCTTTGATACCCTTTTGAAATATTCGTAAGTTTATATTTGTTCAAATATTTTTTCATTGTACGCTTTTTTTGTCGAAAAATTCATAGCTGATAGGAAGTTTATATTATACCTTTATTTAACCATTTTTATATCGGCACCCTTCCTTTGAAAATCTGCTTTGGAAAGTCTACTGATTCTGGAAAAGAAATTGCTTATGTTTTTCCTTCGAAACTCAAAAAAGATTTGTTTCCTATAGTACACTTTATGGATATATATGTCATGCATAACTTTTATTAACTTTTTCATTTTTTTGTTTTGTGGACAGGCCAGCTTATTCGTCATAATTACGAGTGATATCGAAGATCTTACTGCTAATGAAGTTGAAGGTTGACTTGACCATTAACTTCATTCACGTTCGTACATGTAAAGTGAAGAAAAAGGATAACTATTAAAAGCATTATTGCAGTTTATTATTTATTACGTACTACTTATTTATTAGGCCACTCCAAATTGATTCTTCGTTTAACATAACATTAAATAGTTCATAAGAGTGGGAGGAGGGCGTGAAAAATACACAAATTAAAAAAAAACAGCAATTTTATTGGTTGATTTAACATGTGTTAGTTATATAAA